GATGATTAAGTTTTAATCTCAATGCCCAATATTTCATGTGTTTGCTGCAAATGGGTTTTTTACTTGATGTGTAGAGGAAGGTTTTCTCTCTCTCTTAACAAAAAATAAAAAAAAATAAAAAAATGAAATTTAAAATTTAGAATTAAAAAAAAAAAAATTGCCAGTGGTCTCCAACCTTGACGTGGTTGGTGGGCTTGTAAACCAACTGAAGACTTTGTCGAATATTTTGAAAGTATAACATGACATCGAATCGATACATTTTTGACTTAGTTTTCCATTACCACTTCAAACGGACGTGCATATTGATGTCAAGAGTTACAGAAATATAAACAAATATCTTCATTTTTATCATAGTCTCTGTGAATCGTAATTGTTTGATATATATCGTGCTTTAAAATCGTTTTAGGTCAAGAGTATGCTCTTTATTCCATTGTTTGTGTTGTTTTATAAAAAGAGGGACACACATTTTCAATATGATATTGCTCTCGTACTGATTGACCTATTATCATAAAATAACATGCATATACTATTGTGTTCATACTGACATTTATGCATCAAGACTATTTTTTAAGTTCCAAAATTCTTTTGGGTTTAAAAAAATAATAATGAATTTCATCATTTTTTAGCTCACCGGGGCCCAAAGGGCCCCATGTGAGCTTATGCCATCACTTGGCATCCGTCATCTGTCGTCGTCCTCTGTCTTCGTAAACTATTTCAAAAATCTTCTCATCTGAAACTACTGGGCCAAATACCTTCAAACTTTAACTAAATGTTCCTTAGGGTATCTAGTTTATAAATTGTATCCGAAGTTTTCATCCATCGACAAACATGGCCGCCATGGTTAAAAATAGAACATAGGGGTCAAATGCAGTTTTGGCATATATCTCAAAAACTAAAGCTTTTAGAGCAAATCTGACATGGTGTAAAATTGTTCAATTGGTCAAGATCTATCAGCTCAGAAATTTTCAGACGAATCGAACAACCCATTGTTGGGTTGCTGCCACCGAATTGGTAGTTTTAACAAAATTTTGCAGTTTTTTGTTATTATTTTGAATATTATTATAGATATATATAAACTGTAAGCAGCAATAATGTTCAGCAAAGTAAGATCTACAAAAAAGTAAATATGACCATAATTGTCAATTGACCCCTTAAGGAGTTATTGCCCTTTAAAGACAATTTTACACAATTTGTTCATCAAGTTTGCTAACATTTAAAAATCTTCTCCTCTGAAATATAGGTGAGCGATTCAGGCTCTTGAGAGTCTCTTGTTCATTGAATCATGGACCGGGTGTTAACTATACTGTGCCTATTTCTCCTTTGTTCTTTATGGAATGTTAACAAAACTTTCCCAAAAATAATTTTATATGTTGTCATATGTTATTGCACCACTAAATATTAAATATAAATATTTTTTGTCGATAATTTCTGTAGATAAAGATAATTTTTATCATTTTCTTCCATGTTGGATGCGGGGGTATTCATCACTAATCTCTGTCAATCTGGCATAAATATGACAAGCTGAATTTGTGCAACACTCCCAGAGCATGATTCCGTATAATTTTTTTCTCGGTTATCATGAGGGACTACCGAGAAATTGTCCAAAATGTCCAAAAATTGCAATTTTTTAAAATCCCCCTTTTGACCTTTGACCACAGTTTTCTAAAATCTGCACCAATTGGCACTCTACGACATGCCTTAATCACAGACCTGATTTTTTTCCGCTATATAGCGGAATTCCGCTTTCCGTTTGGCTCCTTTCCGATTTTCGGCTTTGAATTCCGGATTTTTTTTCATTCACGGCAAATCCGGATTTTTTTCCGCTCTTCTCTGATTCCGGTAAAACTAAAAACTTCCAAAAGCAAAGGGTATTATATTTATCTTCAGAATAAGATCAAAATTAGCCGTGAGGTATTTCGGTCCATTAAATTTTTAAATTTACATTTGTACCTTACTTGTCACCGTACTATAAAGCTTTATATTTCAGAAGGTAGAAGACCTAGATGCTTCATACCTCGTATGCAGAGGCCTTATGTTAAGAAGTTTCAATCTGGCATACATGTATGTCCATGTCCTTGACTTCATTCTCATGGTTTAGCGACTGCTTGAAAAAAATTATGTTTTTGTTTGTCATTGAAATTCTCACTTATTACATGTATGAGTAAAAGGATAACTGTATTTGGTATATGAGTTCTTTGCAATGTTTAAATGTCCAACAGACAGGGTTCACCTGACCTCGACTTCATTCCATGGATCAGTGATCAAGGTTAAGTTTATGTGGTCAAGTCAGTATCTCAGGTACTTTAAGCAATAGGTCAACTATGTTGGTGTATGGAATGATTGTAACTTGTAGATTTTTGAATGAGAGGTTTCATCTAAACTTGGCCTTATTATCATGGTTCATTGATCAATCTTAATTTTTTCTGTTTTGGTCTATTTTTCAGATACTATAAGCAATAGTTCAACTATATTTGTTGTAAAGAATGATTGTAATGTGTAAATTTCCGTCTGGCAGAATTCATATGACCATCAGCATGACCTCATTTTCATGATTCAGTAGTCAATGTAAAGCTTTCATGGTTATGTTTGTTTTTCAGATAATGTAAGCAATAGGTCAATTATATTTGGTGTATGGAATGATTGCTGCTTCATCTGACCTTGACCTCATTTTCATGATAATTGGTCAATGTTCAATTTTCGTAATTAGGTCTTGTTTCTCTGATACCATAAGCAATTAGGTTAACTATATTTAGTGTTTATATGATTGTAAGGGTGTACATGTCTGTCTGGCAGGGTAAATCTGACCTTGACCTCATTTGCATTGATCATTGATAATGTTGATTTTGTTTGAAACTTAAGGTAAAACCTTCATATTACACACTTTCAAAATCAATTCAATCATGATAAGAAAAGCAAGCCAGACATTTCAGCGTGAGCACTCTTGCAGTTCAATCTTCATTTTTCTGGTTTGGTCTTTTTTCTGATACTATAAGCAATAGTATATATTTAGTGTATAGAATTTATTTACTTTAACTCTTGAAGTTAATGGCAGGTCTTTGATTGTTTCTTTTACCGGTACATTTATTTACATTTTTTATAGACTCAGGATGATTAAGAACTTGACATATTGTATGGACACCTGTCTGTTGTTGAAGACTGAATATGGCCCTCTTGTTATCTAATGGTTATTTTTGTCCCCCTGGCAATGTGTTGCAGGGAACATAGAAATACCGGGCGTCTGTTTTTTGCATCTGTCCCTCCATTCTTGTTACCACTCTCACATGTACAATTATTGCCAGATTTTTACAAAACATATATCACAGGTTTATATGAACATTATCTCAGACAAGTTTGAAAATCAGTGCCAATCAACAATTTTTAAAAGAGAAATATTTATTATATGGGAAATTGCATTGTTAATGTTCTCATGTGTACAATTCTTGCCTGATTTTTATACGACCGCTGCGGTCGTATATTGGTATCACGTCGTCGTTGTCAGAAGACATTTGGTTTCTGGACTATTACTTTAGTTTAAGTGAAAAGAAATCTATGAAATTTAAACACAAGGTTTATAACCACAAAAGGAAGGTTGGGATTGATTTTGGGGGTTATAGTCCTAACAGTTTAGGAATTAGGGGCCAAAAAGGGCCCAAATAAGCATTTTTCTAGTTTCCAGACAATAATTTGTGGAACGGTGTATGGATCTCTCTGAAATTATACCACTAGTTTCCATACCACAAAGGGATGGTTAGGAATGGCTTTGGGGGTAATGGCTCTAACCGTTTAGGAATTAGGGGCAGAAAAGGGGGAAAAACAAGGGTTTCCTTGTTAATGGACAATTACTTTTAAGTACAATGTTTTGTGTTTGGATTACCTCCCTTACACTGCGTTTAAATTATGTATAAAGAAATGTTGTATTGTCTTGAGGTGATTAGCTGTCAATTTATTTTTAGAAGTTACTATTAAAGATGCTGATTATGGAATATTAATTTTAGACACGATTATGTATGTCATTGTCTATTTTAAGACTTTTATGATGTATTTAAATGGGTAATTATGGTTGCAAACTCCATTGGAAATTTGAATTGAGATAATGACCATATCTTGAGGGAAAGAATTTTCTTTTTTGGAAAAGGGGGGGGGGGGGGGAGGTAAAAAAAATTAGGGGGGGGGGGGACATTTTTTTCTCATTTCAGATTTCAAAAAAAAGGGGGGGGGGTTAAAAAACAATTTTTTAATTTTTTTTTTGGGAGGAGGGGTATAATTCGCAACAGCATAGTGTATTGCACAAAAGCAAAAAATTGAATATAAATTCAAATCATATAACCAATTTGAAGTTCTTTGACTACAGTTATTCTGTGTCAGAAATCTATTATGTGTCAAATATTTAATTACAATCCAAATTCAGACCTGTATCAAGCGCGAATATTGTGTTCATTTTTGCCCCAATTGTTCAGGGTTGGACCTCTGCGCTCGGTGAAGCAATTCATTATAAAACTGATATCAAATCTGTGTTGATCAATTATTTTACAAAGAGTTATGCCCCCTTGGAAATATTTAGTATGGAAAATTGCTTTATAAGCGATATCACATGTACAGTTTTTGCCAGATTTTATCAAATTTATATCAGAGATGTATATCAGCAATGTCTTGAACAATGTAGAAAGTCAGTGCTGATCAAATATTTTTTTTAAATTTATGCCTCTTGGAAATATTGATTATATCAGAAATTGTATTGCATTTGCTCTCAAGCCTTCATTTCTCTGAGATATTCATACAAATTTTGAAGAACAAAAAAGAACCTTTTTTTAGTTTTTGCCTTTGGACAGATAAAATATGTGAAATGCAGGGGACATTGTAACTCTATTCTTTTATTGTCTTGGGGAGTTGCTATGATGTTTACCCCAAATCCCCTTTTATTCATATCATTATGATTATAAGCAGTGAGAAGTTTCAGATACCTTACAGCGCTGTTTATATTTACTTATTTTACATTTCAGTTGAAGAATTAATTATAGATGATGGCTGACACAGATTTACATGAGGCATGTGGTGTGTTTGGATGTGTAGCAACAGGTGCATGGCCAACACAGTTAGATGTAGCACATACTATTTATCTTGGTTTAGTTGGCTTACAACACAGGTAAAATTAACAAAATTATGGAATGTGCAGGGGTCATAATAAGCATTCTCTGCTTGTGTGTAGGGCAATGTCCATCTGGACAGTAAAATACTTTTCTGATCAATTAATATTAGTGTTAATCTCTCCTTGATTGCCTTCCAACTTTGCTTTGTCTTTTGAATTTCTTTTTTGTGTCATTGGGTTGCTGTCCTGTTTATCAAAATCTCTCATTTTATTCGTAGAACAATTAATTTTATAAACTACCATTGAGACACACATTACCTTATTTGAATCCCTGTTTACGGAGGTTTCTGTTTAACTTTTTTTGAAATATCAATTCTAAATTAAAAGTATATTATTTTATGAAATCTACATGAAATTGTTACACTGATTTGTGGACTGTATCAGTATAAAGATACATGGTTCCCATAAAAAATTCTTTTTAAATAAAGAAATCCATTTAATTTTATGTTAAAATTTAATTTTGAGTTTGTATTAATAGTAAGGCAAAAAATTTAATTTAGCCCGAATAGTAGTTATTTAAAATTGCTGTCAATGCTTACCTCCCTTGTTTAAATGGACCAAGTAAGCATATGTAGATAAACTATTTTTTTATGCCACTGCCATAGAGGAAAGGGGCATTTAGTGTTACCCTTGACTGTCTGTCTGTCTTTCCGTCCTTCCCATTTTCATTTCCCCACTCTAACTTAAGTTTGCCTCATGCAAATTTTATGAAACTCATACACAATGATAACCAAAACTTGCAGACATAGTTAGAATTTGGGCAATGAGTCGCTTACCATTCAAGAGTTTTGCCCCTTTATAACTTGGGAAATTGGAATTTTTTTAGTTTCTGCTCTCCAACTTAAATTTTCCTCATCCAAATTTTATGAAACTCATACACAATGCTAAGAGCCAAAACTTGCAGACAGAGTTCGAATTTTGGCAGCGCGTCACTAACCATTCTAGAGTTATGCCCCTTTATAACTTGGGAAATTGCAAGTTTTTTAGTGTCCGCTCTCCAACTTAAATTTTCCTCATCCAAATTTTATGAAACTCGCATACAATGCTAAGAACCAAAACTTGCAGATAGTTATTTTAAATTTGGGCAGCCATTCACTAACCGTTCTAGAGTTATGCCCCTTTTTAACTTGGAAAATTGCAAAATTTCCAGTTTCTGCACTCTTTTTTTAATTTACCTCATGCAAATTTTGTGAAACTCATACACAATGCTACGAACCACAAGAAGAAGACGAGAGTTTGAATTTGGACAGAGAGTCATTTACCGTTCTAGAGTTATGCCCTTTTTAACTTTGAAAATTGCAAACTCTTCAGTTTCTGCACTCTCACTTAAGTTTTTCACATCCAATTTTATGAATCTCATACACAATGCTAATTACTACAACACACATTTGTGTCCTCAGACACATTCTCCTTTTATTTTTATGTGAATTGATTAGGAATTAAAAAGAACTAATAAAAACATAAATACATTTAATGCAGAGGACAAGAGAGTGCTGGTATTGTAACTAGTTTGGGTGCTGAAGATTCCAAGTTTAAAACAAAGAAAGGGATGGGACTGGTAACACATATCTATACAGAAGAAGACATTGCAAAGCTGAAAGGCAATATAGGAATTGGACATACCAGGTACTCCACACAAGGAGAGTCTGAGATGCAGAATATACAGCCATTTGTTGTAGAAACAGAGCATGGTCTGATAGCTGTGGCTCATAATGGGGAACTGGTGAATGCTAAGTCATTGAAGAAAAAGGTATATGTAGTTGTATAATTTGAGATCATTATATTAATCAAGATCCTTATAGCAATGTTGGAAAGAGAAAGTAAATAAAATAAAAGATCAGAGAACAAAAAATAAATTTATTTCAAAGTCAACATTGAAAAAAGAATGTTGAATATTTACTATAAAATGCGACCAAAAATTTTCATATGAGGTTAAGCCGATCAGGCAGTGTGTGGGGACATTATAATAGCTTATGCTGACACCAATGGATATGGAAGTAAAGAATTTCTCAAAGAGATTCTTCAGCAAATTTTTATCAAAAGTTCGTCAATTTTTATTGTTGAAAAAATTGTGCAGATATATTTAAATAACATTTCCTTAAAGGTGTGAGGCATGATACAATATAAAGATACAGAATGTACCAAAGTGATAATAAAGAATCAGACAACACTTTGGCAGAAAAAAAAGGCAGGTAAAAGACAATCATTAGTCTACAAAACACAACACAGAAAACTAAAGACTGAGCAACACTAACCCCATCAAGAACATGGGTAATCTCTGGTTCTGGTGCCTAGGAAGGGTAAGCAGATCCTGATTTTCCTGCAAAAAGTTATGTATTTAACCCTTTCACAGCGATTTTATTTGAAGTAGGGGCCTCGGTGGCCGAGTGGTCTAAGTAGTTACTTCTGCAATCACTAGCCAGTCAACACTGAGGTTGTGAGTTCGAACACCGCTCGTGCAGGTGCACTTGACTCCAATCTTAATTGACTCTGTGGTTTTCTCGGGGCACTCCGGCTTCCTCCACCAATAAAAACTGGCCGCCACGAAATAGCCCAAAAGGGGTGCTTAAAAGTGGCGTTAAAACACACAAAAAAAATCAAAAAATTATTTGAAGTAAATGGTAAAATGTAAAATGTAATGGTAAAAGCATAAAAATAATATTAGATGGTTGATTAAACCATGGAAGTAATATTTAAAAGGAATAACAACGACTAATTAGCATGTATTAGCAGCCTGCAGAGCTCTGTACTAAAGTCATATGATTTTATCCAATTATAGTCTCAGCGGCAATACCCCTTTGGTTACTATCTGTGATACCGCGGTTGTAAAATGGCATCTGGAATTTCTTATCAGTCACGTGATTTTATCGAGTCCGGTAATTATAAAGCACCTGTGTGAAATCCGAGGTTTATTAACAAGAAGGTGGCGCTGTATCATATAAAACCTCTACCTTCAGAAAGATGTCTTATGATGTAAAAAACTTGAAAAACGGACGAGAATTGTTCAACCTACAACAGTTTAGCATGGAAAATTGTATTTAATTTAGCATATTTTTGCTCTTTACCGTTTGTTTTAAACTGTTCTAAAAGTATTTTCCGGTTAAAAGCGGATCCCGAGTAAAACAGTTAAATACCGATGAATCGATCAGGTTTCACATGATGTTGAACAAAATAATGTAGACAGATGTAGACATAGAATATTTTACTGTTGAAATGTGCCAAGTTTATCGAGATTTATAAAAATATTTACTTTCAAGTAATTGATTACGTTATTAAAACTGGACAATTAAAATCGGGATCATAAGTTCGTAAACATGTTAAATTTATATCTATTTTAAAAAAGTGTTTACAATTGAATACTAATATTAATGTAGCACGTTACAGCAAAAAGAAAATCAACCATACAAAACGAGCTTGACGCTATCTGTCTAACCGCAAATTTATTTTATATGAATTTGTTTATGTACAAATTAAAGAATAGAAACGTTTAAAATTGTGAATATTTGATTTGCCTGGTATACACGGAAGACTTGGATTATTCGTATTTAATAAAAGGGGGTCGACACATATTTTTTTGTACAATCATCTTCTTAACTTTCAGAAATGGCTTCTTAATTAACTGGTTTTAAGTATTAAAATTGAAAATGATCCACCCTTTTTTCTTAAATTCAATATGTGATAACTGTCGGCCTAAATTATTAAGATCGAAAAAGACATAAATAGGAAAAATAGACTAAAATCAACATTGAATGACTGACTCTATTCGGTAGCGTACAGCAGCAGAATGTAACGAGTGAACTATTCGGGTTACTTCGTACGTACATACGACAACAACTGGTCTATTCGTAATTTTCCGGGAACACGAAAATGACCGAAAAGTGTCAGTGATTTGATCTATCACATGCCGAGAGTCAATTACCATGCCATATATTAAACCAATTAACGAGTTATCGAAAGATGGGCGGTAACGCAGATGAAACCTTTGAAGTGACGACGTTGTTATTCCTTTCAATATTACTTCCATGATTAAACCAATGGTCATAAAAATAATATTAGATGGTTGATTAAACCAATGGTCATAAAAATAATGTAAGTTTGACTTCTTTTCAGTTGTTGCGACATGGTGTTGGTTTATCAACAGGATCTGACAGTGAGCTAATCACACAGTTATTGACACATTTACCTGAGTGTGGAGAACCACAGGGTCTTGTTAACTGGGTTGGCAGGTAAGTGGCCTTAAATTTCACAGAGGATTCAAGAGTTTCAGTAGTTGCATACTGTCTGGTTGATATTATAGCAGAAAAAAATAGTTTTTTATACAGGGTCCTATTTGTCAGTTATCCACATGGGGCAATACAAATTAAAAATTCTGCAAAACATACATAATTGTGATTACATTGGAGTTAACCCAACACCATCTTTTTGTCACCTAAAATTGTGAATTATCTGCCCTTATATTGATAGACTAATTCCTTCAAAGTTTGAAACTGAAATTTTAGATTGTATTACAGTTTTTATCTGATTGAAAATTCAGTTATAAATAACTCTTTCTTTTGTCTTTAAGTTGATATCAGCTGTTCATTAAGGAATTTTATTTTATTTAGGGATTGTATATTTATCTATTTTTTGAGTCTGATATAAAAATGCAGAAGATTGTTAATTTTTTCCAGTGAAATTCACGATGTTTTCACATTTTCTCTAAAAGAAAATCTTTATATATGATCACTAGACTTCTTAGGTTCAAACACTAATTGTAATCTGATAGTAGTAAGCCCAACTGTTTTCAGAATAATTGCAGTGATTCACAGAACTAGTCCTACTAAATTCACAACTGGGATAGAAAAAATCTGATTCTTTTTGTGTCAGATGATTAAGAATCTTACCTTAGTTCTTCTTTTCATTTGGGAAAATTTTTTCTATAACCTTCAAAAGTCCTGAATATATTTGAAAAAAAAAATATATTAATTTATAGAATAAAAAGAATCATGGCAGAAACACTGACATCATACTCTTTAGTCATCATGCATCATGATAAGATCTATGCTCTGAGAGATCCATTTGGAAACCGTCCACTGTGTGTTGGTAGACTGTATCCTGCGGCAGCATTCTCAGGAAAGAAAGTGTTGGCAGATGATGATATTGATGGATGGGTGGTGTCATCAGAATCATGTAATTTCAACAGTATGGGTGCTAGATATTACAGAGAAGTTTTACCTGGTAAGTACTGAATTTTAGGTTTTCTGCATTTTGATATACTGTTAAATATCAGCTGCAAGTCACAATATGAAGCTTTTTGTCGAGTGAGCATAGCATAAAATTGAAGCACAATTTTTTAAATTTTACTTTTTTTTTTACTGATACATGGACTTAGTTTTTGGCAGCCAACATGTCACTTCACACTGATGGCAGCAATCACAGGCCAGAATCAGGGTTAATATGGAACACTGTACAATTTTAATAATTATACCAGAAAAGATGGTGGGGAGTGTTTTAATGGTTTACTTCTGTCTGTCTGTAACACATTTCTGTTGCATTTTTCTCATTAACATAAAATCATAGCCCATGTATGGCTCCAAGCTTCATCTTGTTATGCTATACAAGGTGAGATGTTTTCATTTCTTTCGCTCGTCTACTAACAGTTTTCCAAAAACATATCTTGAGCGTAGGTATCTTAAGTGAGCACCAAAATATATAATACTTCTTGATTAAACAAATGAACTTTTGTATTGCAGGAGAAGTGATAGAATTAAGTAAAGATGGTGTTAAGTCAGTGTATATAGCTCCCAGACCAAACAAAGCTCCACCTGCATTCTGTATATTTGAGTATGTTTACTTTGCTAGAACAGACAGTACATTTGAAGGTTTGTTTGATGTTAGCTGCTGAAGTTTAAATTCACACCATACTCAGTAGAAATGAATTCTTTCACAATAGAAAAAGTTTAATACATTAGAATTATGTGGAAATATGGATAGGTCTATTTGCTTGTGTCAGATATTCAAGCATTAGGAAATATCAAGGAAAAAGTTTAATTATGGGCATCAAACTGAACTTCAAACATGAGAAGAAATAAAAATCAGAAATTACTATCATAATTTCTAAAATTTTCAAGTTTATTTAGCAATTATTTACTTGAATTTAAGTTTACCCTCTTCATGCAAGTGTGTTATGTTTATTGAATTGAATAAAAGTTATGTATGAATATATCTTTAATGTTCAAAACATAATACACCTACAGGTCAGATGGTATATACTGTGAGACAGAGATGTGGAAGACAGCTGGCAGAAGAGGCTCCCGTCAATGTTGATATTGTTAGTACGGTACCAGAATCCGCTACACCGGCTGCACTGGCTTATGCAGAAAAGGTTAGATTTTTTACAACTAATCATTCATAAAAAAAAAAAAAATTATATGATGAATGAAAAATATGCAAGAAAATAAAAAGCAGAGGGGAAGTAAGATCATATGGAAAAAAGTTCCTAATGAAAACATGTGATTGAACATATTAAATCCCTTACAAAAAATAATCATAACTTAATTGTTCAGATACTCTAAACACAAGATCATGTCTTATAAATTACACCTTTCTGAGGAAGGATTCAGGGCAATGGTTTTCTCTTCTGAATTGTTTGACATTTTGTCATGCTGGAGCCTTTTAATGATTGCTACACAGTGTGGGTTTTGATCATTGTTGAAGGCTGTACTTATAGTTGTTTACATCCTTGTTCTATAGTCTGAGGTGGATATTTATCTCATTGGCAATCATACCACTTCTCCTTATATTTATATTCATTTATACTTACATTGATATATTAGTCTACTAAAGATGCTTTATGCATAAAATCTGGTAGGAATTAAAGATTAATATAAAATTATACATATAGCGGTAATATTTAGATCACATATTTTTGCTGAATCTATTTTGAATCCCAGAATTCAGGGTTTAGAGCTACAATTTTCTTATATTTATCTTCAGCTTGGGATACCATATGGTGAAGTTTTCTGCAAAAACAGATACATAGGAAGAACTTTCATACAACCAAATATGAGACAGAGGAAGCTAGGTGTGGCTAAAAAGTTTGGTGTACTGACGGAAAATTTCCGTGGAAAAAGAGTTGTACTAATAGATGATTCCATTGTTAGAGGTGTCACCATGGTACCAATCGTCAAACTTCTCCGAGCCGAAGGAGCTGCAGAGGTGAATTTAGGGAATCTAATATGTTAAAATATCTGTGTGTAGATTGAGATTGTATCTTGAAATTCTTTATATTTAACAAACTGACCAAGTTATGACCCTTTGACATGGAAATTTTGTATGAAAATCTCCTATTCTATGTTGTATTTCCTCTTTGCAGATATTTGAGCTAATATTTGGTATGTAATGGTAAAATGAGTAATATAGATCTAGGATGAGTAAACTTATATATTTATATGAATAATGGCTATGGGGGGAGAAATTACAGCTTTTAGCTATTCTTCCAGATTATTGTCATGATATTTGTGTATTTTATAGATTAATAATGACTTTCTGTGGATTCATTTCTTTTTCATGTGTACCGATTTTTGTGGCTTGAAGAAAACTTGTATTTTGGTAAATACTTGATTTCAAGGTTTTTTTTTACAAAAGTTTACATATAAGCTTATCAAACATAAATACTTAATTGAATATTTAGATTTTTGGTTGATCTATACCTTTGAAATCCACAAAAATTGGTACCCAACGATTGATAATAAATCCACAATATTGTAGGATTTTTGAAGAATGGACAAAACTTGCGGGATTAATTATTGCGATTTCAAGAAAATCTGCATACAGATATATGTATCAGATATCAGAATGAGAGTTCTTATTATTGGGATATTCACCCAGTTGCATTATTCTCATTAATAAAAACCTCACAATAATTTCTGAATTTACAGTAAATAAAGCAGGATTGTGTTATCTGAATTAGAAATTTGACAGCATATGAAAAAAATGTTTGGTTTCTTTGTGTTGTCAATTTTTTTATAGATTTGTTTTTACTTGTATGGCTTAAGAAATATACATGTAATATGTTGTAATTTGACGTTACAGTTCACTTCATTATTCAGTTTTTTCAATCTCATACTCAGAAATAAATGTATTATTATTAAATGATTCCTTTATTTTCAGATTCATATAAGAATTGCATCACCACCAATCAAGTATCCATGTTACATGGGCATAAATATCCCAACATTTCAAGAACTCATAGCTAATGTAGTTCCTCTGGAAGATATGCCAGCACATTTTGGTAGGTAGAGCTTGAAGTTTCTCATAGGAAAAATCACATTTTTCTTTTTCACCTGAAAGATGTATTTATTAAAGTAAATTTTTTTTTTTTAATATAAATGCTATTTTTAATAAAGAGACCAGTGTTCATTCAGTTCAACACTGCCAACCTACATTTTTACTACTCCATTGAAAGCAATTTGGTTGGTATGGTCAGGGCTAAATACCTATGAACAGAATCTCGCACCTTAATCAAATATATAATATTATTTTTGCACAAAGGAAAAGTTGGAACCCACATTTGGAAAAAGTTAAACTCCATTTTAACAGACAATAAATTGAAATTATGATCTTTGATAAACATCTGTCATGAAATGGAAGTTCCTTCATAATATAAGTTCCAAATGGAAAAAAAAATGTTTTTGAATATTATTATTATTATTGACGGAATAAATGATATGGAATATTTGTACCAACAGGAACAGATATTATGGCTATTTATAACAAAGTTTCCTATGGAACTTCCGTTAGGCAAAACAAATGTATGTTGACACATCAACCAGGCACAATACCAACCTAGATCCTGTGGTTCAATGAAAGTTTGTCTCATCCTCAGCTAATTATATATGATCTTACCATATTATTTTAGAAGTGATCTTCCTTTGGATACACATTTGATGGTCCTTATATCATTATGTTAGATATTTTCTTTATTACAGGTGCTGACAGTTTACAATATTTATCAGTGGATGGATTGAAGAAAGCAGTGAGAGAAGGGATAAAGAATCCTGATGGTTCAACGGGGCATTGTGTAGCATGTTTAACAGGGGAATACCCGGTCAAGTGTAATGACTGGTAGATGTAATGCATCAAGCATTGCAATTAATGTATGTTGTTGGTTATGCTTAAATTATGAGGGTTCCTGCCAATATGTATTTTATGGGGAAATTTTCAAGGAAAAATTATAATAATTAAGGATAGTTTTACAATTTTTCTATCTCAAAAGACGAAAAATATTATTATTTAGATATAAACAATGTTTCAATTCCTGCTGTAGGTCTAAAGCTGTACAGAGAGAGAATTAAAAGTATTTACAAATGAAAAGATGACTGTAGTTTTTCCTTTGCAATTCATAGAAATGATTTGAAGTTGCTCATTAAAAGTTGTGAAGTTTTGTGAAAGAAAGTTTGATATTTTCAACATATGTATAAGGGTGGCTTCTCTACATCATACATCACATCCATGATTTACGTTTTGCTTTGTTTTGTATTTTACCTTGTTTATAATAAGTGCTGCATGAAAAACTATATTATGTTCCAGGATCTTATTGATTTTGGTAAAATGACAAATGTAAACAAACAATATTTTTTCAGTCAGCAATATTTGATGGACCTTTAGAATGAATGCCTCTTTCCTAACCCTTTCAAAAACTTTTCTAGGTGTTGTGTATTTTGTAATGATTTTTTTGTGCCACAAATTAATTGTAATGTAAGTTTGTAAATAATGTATCATAGTAATTGAGAGTTGTTTATAGTTACATCATTAAGTGCTTTATACATATTTCAGATTATTTTATTTTGTATTTGTGTTTTTGAAAATGAGAAAAGATGGTTGATGGGTGCAGAAATTAGATATGGTTTGAACATTTATATATATGTATGTAAGTATCATTATTTGTGTGATACCAAATTTTCCAACAAAAGACAAAAGGAAGTAATGACTCTTTGTCTCAAAAAATGGTTGGATGTTTTAAACATGGAACAGTAATTTCAGAAAATAACAATATATGTTCACATCCCTAGAGTTTTCAGATGTGGAGAGAATAAGAAGATCTTTATTTTGCAAGAAAATATCAAATTTTGTGATCTTTTCCATTTTACACAGAATTTGATTAGTATTTTACATTTGCACAAAAATAACTTTATACATTTTGCCTTAACATGATATACATTGTGACTGAAAATAAGTTATTTTCCAAATGTAGAGGCATTTTTTTTATTCACAATTGACAGATAACACATGAAAATAAGAAACATTAGATGATTTTCTAAATTTTCAATTTAATACTCATTATTCCGTGAATCTGTTTGGATTATTATGTTTTTTTGAATCACAATTAAATCATCTTTTTATTTTCAGAAGGAATAACATTTCCATTTTCATTTTCATCTAATTGAAATCAAATTTGTTTTGAAAAAAGATTTATAAATATAAGGCCATTTTCCATTTGATATTCATTATTCAGTGAATCTGTTAGGAATATTATGTTTTTTAATCTCAATTAAACCATCATTGTATTTGCAGAATCTCAATGAATTATGTCATCATATCTGTTGAATCTCAGTGAATTATGTCATCATATCAGTTGAATCTCAATTAATTATGTCATCATATCTGTAGAATCTCATTTTAGTTTAGTTATATTTGCGTGATCTCAATTTTAATGCATAATGTTTACTGGGTGTCAATTTAATGCATTATATTTACTAGATCTCAATTTAATATGTCATGATATATTAGCTGAATCTCAATTTGCTATTTTTATGCCCCCGCCGTAGCGGTGGGGGCATTAAGTTTTACCCTTGTCCGTCTGTATGAATGTACGAACATACGTACGTCCCAAAATTGGTTTCCGTTCTCTAACTTGAGTTTACCTCTACCAAATGTTATGAAACTTCTACACAATGCACACCCTTTATAAATGGAAAAATTGCAAAATTTTATTTTCTTCTAAATATCAAGTAATTTTTAAAATAGTCCATGATTATAGTTGAATCAACTACAATCAATGCTTTATACAATGCAATGTTTAATTTTGACTTCCACTGATAAAACACAGATCAAGTTGAATTTGGGTAGTGTCACTTTAACCATTATTGAGTTATGCCCCTTTATAAATCGAAAGATTGCAAAATTTTTAGTTTCCATTCTGTAACTTAAGTTTGCCCCAACCAAACATTATGATACCTTTACACAATATTCATTACCTCAAAACTAAGATAATGTACAATTTTTTTGTTTCCGTTCTCTAACTTTAGTTTGCCTCAACCAAATGTTATAAAACTTATACACAACTGTTCTAGAGTTATGCGTGTTTACAAATAGAAAAATTGCTGAATTTTTAGTTTCTGTTCTCTATTTAAGTTAGCCTCAACCAAATGTTATGAGACTTACACACAATGCTTATTACCACAAAACTCAGATCAAGTTCAAATTTGGGTAGCGTCACTTTTACCGTTCTTCAGTTATGTCCCTTTATAACTATATGATATGCAAGCAGGGGCATCATCTGTGTCCACATGTGGACACTATCCACATTTATTTTTTTATATTTTACAAATATCATTTATACATTTTTGATAATTTAAAACTATTAAGTTCCCATTACAACTTCTATGACATTTACCCCCAAGGGTGACTGGGGAATAGAAGTATGGTCACCATTGGTCTTCCTCCGACTGGCAGTAAAACCCGTGCTAAAGTGGGGCGTCCGTTTGGCTGTGCGGGATGTACAAATTTGCAGCCACGTCGGGTCAGAATGGGGACGTTAAATCCGATGCCTCGTGTAAAGAGAGTGCCACGCTCTTTGCACGTTAAGAACCCTTGCAACAACTCTTTGAGGGGTCCGTAGGTGACCTGTTGCCAGGCTAAATTTCTGTCCCTATCCAATATACCCTCATTTCCCGTGGCAGTCTAAATTTCTCCGACCATAATCCCTTAATCTATTACAGAACCTACCTATTGTATTTATTGTGAATTTGTTCTCGTCCTGAATATGCATGAAATATTTGCCACTGGACGTTAAGCAACCAACAATCAATCAATCAATCTATGACATTTGTTAAGACAGATATCAGTGTGTGTATATATGTGCAATTGTTGACTGGATATCTTGATTACTCACTTTGCATAGTACATTATATAATACTGTAGTGAAATATCCCAGTTATTTATGCAATTTGATTGGTTGCCCTGACAGGGGATTTGGTCTCATATAATCTCGACATGAAAGAATTTACCATTTGAACTTCATTTGAAAATTCAGGATATCATCTTTAAATAATGTAACATCAACTGTGTTTGGAATAGATGCTTATAACCATGTTAAATCCATTTAATACATGTATGAAAAACAATTGTTCACAATAAATCATTTATATTTTAGCTGTTGAAAATGTGCCATTTTGAAATCACTGAACGCATGATATTCAAAAATTGTGGTAATGTTGACAGATGTGTGTAGATAGAGAGATTGTGTAAGAATAAATCATTTCGACCTTAATTGGAATATATAAATCTACTAGTTACCATGAATTGATAATGGGAACAGCCATATTTTAAGTTTTAACCAAATTTATGTTTACAAATTTTTACTATTTTACAATTTTGTTTATTTTTTATACCAAATAAATTTGATGAGACATATTTTTGTTATTTTATATTGTCACGAAACACTTCAATGAAAATATAAATATGTGTTATAACTGCCAATGAGATAACTTTCCACCAGAGACCAAATGTAAAATTTAGCAACTCTAGGTTACCTTATAGATGTATAGCCTTCAACAATGAGCCAAATCCATACTGCATAGCAAGCTATAAAAGGCCTTGACATTACTAATGTTAAATAATTCAAACGAGAAAACTAAAAGGCCTAATTTATGTACAATAAAAAAACAGAAAACAAATAATATATGGGTCATTTTCAAAAAATGTCGAATTTTCAGTACACCCATACTAAAATTTGTATTTCTAATGGAAATTTCAGTTGTAATGGTTTAAATGAAAGCTTGTCGGATTTATGATTCAGAACATCGATAATAAACACGATTTACATCTATTTTGATAAGATTAAAATGCATTTAAGTCCGATTTTGGGGGTATTTGTATGCGTACAGTGTCAGAAAAACACATTGCAAATGATTTTTTCCCGATTTTCTGATCGCCTTGATATCTGCAAAAGGGACTTTTTAAGAACGTTAATAATTACTCTAACGAAAAATCGTAGCTTCTTAATCATTATATGTAACATATTATCTACAAACTAAATTCAATCAGCGTACGGGAGGTTCATGTCCATCCTGTTACCGCTACTTAAATCAGCCGTGATATTGTTCTCTCTATGAATATTGAATCAGTCAATGTTGATTTCAAAAGTTCAAAGTTACCTTTACATTTAAAACACCACATTTCTTGTACGACAGTGTAGAGAAAAGAAATTTTAAGACATTTAGTGAAAAAAAACAGAGGGTACTTTTTTTCATGTCTATGCTGTTACCAACAATTTTGATTAATTACACCAACAGTATACTTGTAAAAAGTGCAATATCGTGTTGGAAATCAAATTCACAACAGAAAACCATCATCACTTCACCAAAGGGAGTAGTCATTTCACAACAGCATTCAAAAATGAAGAAATTTGTCTATCCTGTTATGTCTATCCTGTTACTATGGTTGCTATGGTTACAGTAACAGGATACACTACCAACAATTTGCCTAACGTTTACATGTACATTAAATGCCGCTATATAAATAGTACTTTTAGGAATCATAACTATTCAGTACATTAAATGCCGTTATATAAACAGTACTTTCAGGAAACATAAATAATCAGTACATTAAATGCCGCTATATTTACAGTACTTTTAGGAAACATCGCTAATCAGTACATTAAATGCCGCTATATAAAAAGTACTTTTAGGAAACATCACTAATCAGTACATTTATTTATATATCATTTTTAGTAATGTTGAGAAAAAATTGTTTTCAGTACTGAAAATTTCGGTCATTTTTCAGTACTGAAAAGTTCAGTCACTTTTCAGTACTGAAAATTTCATTCATTTTTCATTACTGAAAATTTTAGTCATTTTTCTGTACTGAAAATTTCAGTCATTTTACAGTACTGTAAATTTCAGTCATTTCACAGTACTGAATATTTTAGTCATTTTTCAGTACTGAAAATTTCAGTCATTTTTCAGTACTTAAACTTTTTGTCATCTTTAAGTTAAGCTGAGTTTAAGTTCTTCTACACATACAACATTAGGTCAATGTCAGAAAAATATAAAATGTTTGTATGAGGCTGAGAAATGGGGGGGGGGGGGGGCGAGGTTTTACTGAGCACTTCCCCAGTTTTGTGCCGAATACAAAAAAGTTTATATCTTTGACCTAATATTGTTTTTATACTGCAACTTAAATTAATACATTGATAGCTTTTTAAATCGTAACTATTATATAATAATAACATAAATATCAAAGTTATTTTTATCCCCTAATGAACCCCTGATTGTGGAGAAAGTGTTCCATGATGAAATTGACATTGCACAAAATATAGAAATCAACGACAACGGAAGCCCGCAATAGAACGGTGTTTTAATCTTTTGCTGACGACAACTTCAAAATCTACCAGGACCAGGATTCTTTAAGGTAAAGTTACGAAAAGTAGTTCACATTTCATTTGGTTAGTATGGTATGGTGGTCATGAAATTTAATATGGTGTTCAAACTTGGGGCATTTTAGTTGCGTGCAAGACAAGTCCGCTCTGGGACAACTCGGACCGTCTCAAAAAAAGACAACTCGGACCATCTATAATGACAACTCAGACTAAGTTAAGGTATAAAATTAAACTTTGGAAGAAATAAATGATTTAAGGAAAAATAGAGTCTGAAGAGAAGTATCTAAATTGATACTTTTTTTATTCCAATTTTGAGCATGTTGAGTATATATAAAATTATAACGTCAACTAGGAGCGTGTTTTTTTGTTCTTCGGTAGTGAGCCAGAAGAGGTCCGTTTCTGTTTTTTTTTTTTTTGGCATTGGGAAGATCTTCTGGCATTCTTCTTCCTCTTCTTTTTTAATATGTAGTTTAGACGGCAGAGACACATAACAAACATCGCGTCGCTTAGTCTAAATGACAATAATAGATTTATAGATGCAGAAATGATAAAATATGAGATGTGTGATAAACGTGTTTATGGTATGGCAACCTTAGTAGGACACTATAAGGACAACTAGCTGGATAAATAATAAAAACACACGGATAATAACAGTAAGGGTACGACCTTTTGATATTCTAAGGAGGGGAATTGGGCAGGAGGATCTTCTGCGGAATTTTTTATTCATTTAAAATTTTTAACTTGTCGCTAAGCATGCTTATTTTTTCCAGCTCTTACTAGGCCACCATATTCGTATTCAAAATCCTCCTGCCCCGCCCCCCCCCCCCCCCCCCGCCCCCCTTTTCCCAAAAAAATCAAATGATTTTCTCCTTATTTAACACGAGTTTAAATTGATTGATTGTTGTTTGTTTGTTTTTAACGTCCAGCGACTAATATTTCATACATGTTTAGACAAGACGCGAAATTAAAAGTCATGTATAGAATATCAAAACACAAGTAAGGAGATGTGGTATGATTGCCAATTAGGCAACTATCAACCGGAGTTCAATGAAGTAGCGTTAGCAATTATAACCAACCGTGCGGCCTTCAAAAATAACAAATACCCATACAGTATATCAGTTATAAAAGGCCCCGACATAAAAAATGTGAAACAATTAAAACGAAATAAACTAACGGCCTAACGATATATAACAAACCTATTCTAAAAAAATCAAATATGAGTCGACAGATATGAACAAACAATAACCACTAAACTACAGGCTCATGATAATGTGGCAGGATTCAACATGTCTGTGAGCGCTCAACCCATCCCTAAACGTAGACAGTGGTGTAATAGTTCAACATAAAAACAACGTGTAAAAGTCAGTTGCAATTGGATTAACCCAAAAGATCGGTACGAGACACATCAACAACTAATTAACATTAACTAAAGATGATAAACGTGAAACACCGAAATAAGAGTATTTGTAGTAACTGAAAACTTGTTAGAAGCCAATTAAAACCAACATATAAATCATGATCTTCCAGACTAAAGTATCAATCAGTGGCGGATCAAGAAATGTTCATAAGAGGGGTGGGGCAAGAGGAAACTCGCTCTAATCATGCTTCAGTAATTCCCTATATAATCAACCAAATTTTTCCCACAAAAGGGGATTGGGCATCCCGCCCCCAAAATCCGCCTCTGTCAATCATTACATACACAACAAACGGATTTAGTCATAAACAGTCTGGAAAACGCCATTACCTTGTATACTTGTACCTTGAAAACATATACATTTGTACGATCAAGGTTCTGGAAAAGTGGTGGTCCGAAGGTTTTGACCAGTAGATTTTTCTTCAAGGACCAACAGGGAATAACGATTTTGAGAACTCTGCAATATCTTTTATATACAATTTCTAAAGGAAAGATGTCCTTTTCGGTCATATATATACCAGTAAAATATTGACAATTTTTTGTATAGTTTCAGATTATTTCAAAAAGATAAATAGTCTGAGCTTTAAGCCGTATTTGTTTATCTTAATTAAGTTAGAAAAATATGGAACGCCATGACTGTCTTCTGATGTTGATTGTTTAATATGTTCGGTGCTTTATGCATTATGTTCAGTAGTTTTATATAAGGTTCAGTAGTTTTCATATTCTGTTCAGTAGTTTTGACATTATGTTCAGTATAGTTTTGACATTATGTTCGGTGCTTTGATTATTATATTCAGTAGTTTCATTATTATATGCAGTGGTATTTAAATTATGTTCGGTACGTCTGACGTTATATTCAGTGCATTTTTCATTATGTTCAGTACCATCGACATTATGTTCAGTAGATTCAATATTATTTGCAGTACATTATGTATTACCTTCAGTGGTCCCGGTTTCTTTATATTCGGTAGATTATTCCGGCATTATGTTCAGTAAAAGCATCAGTATTATACTTGGTTCAATGAACTATATGTTCAGTAGTTGTATCATTATGATATTATGATGATGCAGTAAAAATTGGGAAATCAATAACGGAAATTGTCAAGAAAAAAACGAACGCGGACATATTTGACGGACGTTTTCTTCATGGACACTATTACGGAATGGAATGAAAATGGAAGAAATGGAAGCAGTTTTAAATTGGTTTGTTTTACGTTTCCACGTTGGCAATCTTCACAAGGAAAAAATTACTCCTGACTTAATTTGTAAGATGGCATGATAAATTGATTGTTGTTTTCTGAACGTATAGTGGCAAATATTTCACGCATATTTATGACGGAGAGAAGCGTTTTTAAACAAAAAATAAGAAGTTGCATGCATTGTCGTTGATACACCATGACTATAGAGAGACGACAAAAAGACAAACACCAAAAATAAAATTATATAAAAACATATTCTACAGCTTTTGTATTCCTAGAAGGTAACACTTTTTGTTGGTTGGATTGTAGCATATTAATCTCATGCACCGACTTACCGACTTTTAAGAGACCACCAAAAATCTCCTTCTGGATATTCTTATTGTATTCTGCATCCTACCCCGCTAATAGGCGCTTAAA